CGCGGAGGGAGCCCCAGCTCGTACCTGTCCCCGCGGGCCGTCCCGCGGCAGCGATCCCGTGTCGAACTGTGGCATCTTTCCCTCCACCACGAGCACTGTGCCGCCGCTCGGGAGCCGCTTACTTTATACCATGGCTTTTCCGCGGGCTCGTGCCGCTAAATAAACACGGCGTGTTTGTTTTGGATGGGCCCCCTCCCTGCACCAGAGGTTACCAACGTGATGGGGTTGGGACACAAAAAGGCCATCGCTCTATTGTCCCTTTTTTCCCCCCAGCTCTGTGTTCGTCACAGCGTCATCGCGGGAGCCGGGGTGATGCTCCTGTAAGTGGGTCTCTGGCAGTCAGCGCCAGTTCTCTGAAGTCCATGCGGATTTGTCAGGACAGATCATTATTTGTCAATTGAGTAACGGCTCCTACAACACCAGCCCAGCACGTGTCTCGGCCCTGGGGCTTTGCTTGCGCCAAACTCCAAGTGTTTCGGCAACTTGTGCTTGCAGCACCTCGTACAGTAACAAAACAAAGCCTGCGTGCAATGCTGTGGGGCCTTCAGGACAACTGTGCTGCAGAAACACATGCTACTATGAGGAGTTTAATCATTTAAGTACATGCTGTTCAACCCTTTTTAGAGAAGTTCAGGATCAACGCAGGAAATCTTATTTCACTGGAACAGCAGGAGTCAGAGGTTCAATTCAGAACAGTGGCTTCTCTGTTAAGTTCACGCAGGAACAAAAACTTCTGCTTACAGCTGTCTCTACCAGAATATAAATGAAAGTTTGTTAATGGATCTGTATTAGATCATGATTTACTATAGCTGATTTCTTCTAGACCTCTTCCAACAATAAGCTTCCTTTGTATTTATTCATGATGGAAGTACGTGATCATAATCACGTGATCATAATTATTTCCATCAACACCAAAGTGGTATACCGCATCTTACTGAGTACCTATTTTTATGCAAGTACATCATACGCAGTGGCACTGTGGTTGGCCTTCATTAGAGCATGCCCATCACATGCAAGGCATCATGATTTCACATATAATCGTATCACACCAGTTATCAAAATTACTTTTGATGAGTAATTAAGGCAGGGAAGCAGCAGGGCCTGCTCCTGCCTGGGCGATGTGGACCCCGCTGCACTGCGGAGCCTGGCTCACTGGTGCTGGCTACGCGCAGGTGAACACAGACACAGCTCGCGCTGCTCCATGTCCAGATCCTCTCACTGTTACCGTGTGCATCTCCCCTTCGACTGAGTGATCTGTCAGCGTCACACGCTAGTACCTAGGTGCCGCGTGGCCTGGCCTGACACCCTGAAACGGGTCCTCTTCACTGCCCTCTGCTCACTCTCCCACCAACTCTGAGCCTGTCCAGCCTCATCACCTATAACCACAGCAATGAAGCAGTAACATCTGGCAAGAAACCCAGCTTTACATCAAAAAACCTTCTTATTCCAAGGGCAGATGTTTGGCTCAAGGGCTGTCCCATCCTAGCGGAATACTGCAAAGGACTGCTGAGCAGAGAGGTCAGTCCTTTCCTGCCAAACAGGGTCTACCGACACACAGATCACTTCCAGGCAAAAGGGATGAGAAGAGAAATTCTCTTAAGAGAAAAACAATTTATTCAACAATAAATGAAAAATCCTCTTAGGCTCAATTTAAAAGAAAGGCAGGGGGGATTGCTGTTTTCATCCTGCAGCCATCACTTCACACCCTCAAGCTTGACAGTCCAGCCAGACTGAGGAGGCAGAGGAGACGGCAGCATGTAGGGCAAAGTTATGAGCAGTCCTTTACCTGGAGACTTCTGCCACTTCAGAGTCCCTGCAAAACCCAACATCGTCACCTGCAGAGGAGGGCAGGGGAAACATTCAGATGTAGCTCATGCAGGTACTTCCCGTTTGAACACCCCAACACACCCAAACCAAGTTTGCAGGCTCTGTACAGCATTTCCTGCACACCCAAAGCAGTCCCGCACATTGCCACCCATCACTCACAGTGCACAAAAGGTAACACACAGGATATTTGGGGCCAAACATTTGACTGTAGTTTGATGTTTGTTTTGTTTTTTTGTTTTTTTTTTTTACTGAGAAGGCTTTACCTCTGTTTGTTGAGAGCAAAGGGCACTCTAGCATTTGCGTCACAATTACATTTACAATTAACGGGTCAGTGTACCTGATTTGAATTTGAGATGCAATACCAGTGATCCCTTCTGTGGGTGAGGCTTGTTATTTACTTCACCTCCCTGTGTCAATAGGAACAAAAGACTCTGTGGGAGAAGGGTCTCTGCCTATTCTATGGCAGATTATGAGCCTGTCCTCCAAATCCTATCCCATGATCTGTGTTGAACAGTGAGTTAAAGCCTGGAGAATAACCTGGAATGTTGCAAGGATCTGGAGGGAGGCCAGAGCACCCCCAGAACAAGAAGTATGGGATGAAAACTTCCATACTCCCCCCAGTTTCCAAATGAAGTCAGGTTGGACCTTCCCAGCCCACATGTGCCCAGGATGAGCTCTCGGAGTGCATTCTCTTTTTTTCAAGTTCCTTACTTGTGTGGCTGGGGATGGAATGGGTGAGGACAGCTTCAAAACATTGTCTCGAGGCCAGATCAGAAAGATGGCATAGACAACTGGTCCCTTAGAAGTGTACCTAAGAGAACAAGAGTTCAGCAAGGTGAAGAGCCCGATAAGAGAGGGAACCAGACACGAGCTTGGCCTTTCCAGACAGCACGAGAACACCGGCTTGCCTACTGTCACCACACAGGGGTCACCTACTTTCCCCTCATTCCAAAATCTGTCACTTTGGACCCACCATTCAGACAGTCAGCACTGGCTGATGAAACCCAAACAAAGTCCATGCATGCTTCCTAAAAGCAAATGTCATTTGCCGATCTGTCCTTGCCTCAGCTTCTGGTCAACAGAGCGGATACACTGCCTTATCCTGATCATTGCTCTGCATTTCCAGACTGAACACGTTTGGGCACACTTGAGGAAAAAAAACAACAACTCCGTTTTGTAGCATTTTCTGGCTCTTGACTCACTATGCCCTTCTCAGTCAGGATAAATCTCACTGTTGGGTAACAGTGATTAGTACTATTATATAACAGCTTAAAAGCAAATATCTCTACATTTACAAACTGTATGTGTTTAGATGAACTACATTTGTGCAATTCAAACTAGCCAGGACTGCTACTAACACAGTCCTGACAGCAGCAGCATGGAAAATTCATTAAAAGAAGAGTTGTTTTTTCCCAAATCAAGCAAGATGGATGAAGTCCTGATTTTTATTCTCTTCTTTCAAGCAAGATATTCCTTAGATAACGCCCTGGGGCAGTAACTGAACACTCCAATTGTAGGATATTACCTAAACGCCACCTGCACCTGATGGCAACACTTCAGGGTGTACCAAATTTAAGAACAAGTAAGAAAGAAATGTCAGCTCTGGAAGTCCCAGCCCAGATGGTACTGAGCAGTCTGAGCAACAGAGTCCTTACCAGACCGTGTCTGTGCTGTTCTCCATCTGTACTCTCCATGGCTTCGATTCATAAATTGCCTCCCCATTAGTATCCAGCCACGTCCCAAGGGCCAGAAGTCTTTCTTGGAAGATGGGAACAATCACCCCTTCTTTTGTAGGTCCCACATTGAGAAGGTAGTTGCCACCAAAACTCACAGTCTGCACTAGCTCCTGTGGCAGATAAACCAAGGTAATAAATTGTATGCATTATCTTCACTTCTGACAACACAGAAACCCGAGGAGGGCTTTGTCCTCATCAACTGCTCCTTTAACTCCATCCCCATTGCATGAAACACACATTCTTTGTGCAAGTAGGAGGATGAAGGAAAACTCTAGTTCTCAGTAATTCCCCCACACCTGTTATTTTGCTTTCAGATTTTTTACCTCAATGATACTTGCTTCATCCATTAACTCAGCAATGTTCATGTTGCTTCGATAGCCCCAGGAAAGCTTGTCAATGGAGGAGCACATCTCCCACTTGTGAGTTGGTAGGGTCCCTGGCTTGTATTTGTCAGCACAGTTGTAGTAGCCTCCATGATGGCAAGAGCAGTTATTACACCAACGATCATTAACAACAACAGTGTCCTGAAAGAAGAAACCCAGCTCAGTAGAGAGAATGTTTTGTCTTGGACTTTTCAGCCTGCATTCATCCCTCCTAAGTTAGGAAAGGCATCTAAGTTAGGAGGTAAGCACTGACCCCCCCTGTGGAATCAAAGGAAAGAGAGAGAGGATCCTCCAGAGAAGGCTGAATCCCTCTCAGGGAGAACCTCTCTCTATACACTCAGGTGGAAGTAGAGGCAACAAGTTTCCCGGCCTCTGAGCCTCCCACCTGTGTGCTGTAAAGGACACTACAGCCTTCTCATAGGAGCACAGTGTAGGCTTCTTACTTTTTGTGAACGAATAAAGCACATTTGGCATCGGTCAAGCAGGTTTCTGATTTGATCACATTCGTATCTCACTGCTGCCAGAGCTTCCATACTCATTAAATGCTAGCGGCCATGAGGGATAGCTGAAAGTGATACCTTGACGGGACTATCGTTATAAAGCCAGGCAAGGAAAGAGGTAGAATTCCAGTATGACTCCGGAGCTTCCCAATCTCCATCCGACCAAATCAAGTCTGGTTTATATCTAACAGAGAGACGCATGTTATTTCAAAATGGCTTATTTTCTCCTACCAGAGGAAGCACTGTGTTTCTTGCGTCGGGAGTGTAGCTTCACTTCCTCTTCCTATTGCCTGACATTACCAGGAGGTTTATGCTATCACTTTCTGCTTCAGACAAAGCTTTAAGTGAGGTTCTTGCAGTAGCAAAGAATGATGTGTTGATCACGGCTCAATAGAGGATGCAATTCTTCCAAAAAACAGCAGATTGCATCTCAAAGGCAATTACAAGGCACATGGTTGACCTGGGACAACAGCCATTCTGAGCAACATGTGTCCGAGCCTCGTATTTTTGTCAACGAGGGGAAACAATGCAAGGATGTAAATTCACAGTGAAATTGCTTTTCTACTCTACTACATACTAAGCAGCTTGGTCCACTTTCAAAGCCACTCTGCACACAGGCAGTATTAAGGGGAATTGCTCTTTTATGAAAAAACTGTCTCTATCTTATTCTACAAGTTAGACTGTCCACAGGGCAAATGTGAACCCCTTTTCTAGTTACCACAAATCATTATCGATAAGTAAACAGATTTGCTTTGGCAAAACTTAACATTTGTCACCTCTCTGCATCCACTTTGCATCTTTCTCTACAGTACTGAAATCAGGAAACACTCTTGATTCCTAAACAGTTGCAGCTCTTACTTTAAGACAAGATCATAAAGTTCCGGCATGGTCTTCTTTAAAACGAAGTTCTGGGTCTTGAAGCCACTTTCTTTGTCAGCTAGATAGAGTGGATTAAACCACTCTAACAGAGAGTGATACAGTCCATAGCGTATGTTGCTGAAGGACAGAAAACACACAGAAAAGTTAGGCTGGCAGTAGGGACTAAGAACCAGTGGTAGATGAGATTACTGGCATTATTATTTCACAGAAGATTTCATGACTTTGCAAGCACTAGTGTTTTCATATTAATCTCATCATTCTCCACTGTTTGTCAAGAACAGTCAGAAGAATTCAATGCACACAGAAGAAAGGAACAGCACAGTTTGGCAGTGTCGTACCTCTCCCTGAGGGCTTGTCCCAGCTCTCCTACAAGATCTCGGTGGGGCCCTGTATCCACAGAATTCCAGTTCCAGGACACGGGTGAGCCCCAGTTGGTGAAGCCTTCATGGTGCTTCGTGGTCAGAACCACGTACCTGAGAAGAGAATAAGGACTCAATCAGGGTGACACAGGAACTACCTACGGTATGTCCCAGCCTCACTGGGCAAACCCAGTCACTAAGAAAGCAAGGGACTGAGTCAGCATGCTGTGAGTAGCCTTTTTTCCTTACCCTTTAAATTTAGAAACAACTACAAGAATAACAGAGCTTTTTACATGGATTTTAACGCTAGAAAAGAATGAACAATTGAAACTTAGGAAGTAGCAAGACCCATCATCCCCTCAGCACCTTGGGCACAACCCCTCAGAGATCTGCAGCACTGCTCAGGGACCCCCAATGCCTCAGGGATCCCCAGACTTGGCCCTTCCACCCCTCAGGGACCCCTGCATCCTCCTGGGGACCCCAGGCACAGTCCCCCCCTCCTCTCCGGGTCTTTCTGTCCTTTTAGGGACCCCCAGACATGGCTCCCCCACCTGCTTAGTGGCCAGGGACCACCATCCGCTCACAGATCTCCAGAAATGGAAGTCTGTGACCCCAGGGACGCCTGGGCATGGCACTCATGCCCTCAGGGACCCGCCACCCCCTCATGGATCCCTAGGCCCACCCCCCATCCCCTCAGGGACCCCAACCAGTGCTGGACGCTGACCTGGCACCAGCCTGCTGGAAGAGCTGGGCCCACTTGCGGGGCTGGAAGTCGTGAGCGGTGAAGTGGGGTGCAAAGTCCGCATAGGTGGTGTCGGGCGGGTACCGGCGCTGCACGAAGCGCTGGTAGTCGGGGCGGTGCTCACCCTGCCAGTGCCACCAGAACCACTCGGACCCCCAGGCCGGGACGGAGAACACCCCCCAGTGCACGAACACCCCCACCTTGGCCTGGTCGAACCAGGCAGGCAGCGGCCTCGCGTCCAGGCTGGCCCAGTCCGGTCGGTAGCGCGGCGCGGCCAGCACCGGCCCCAGCGCCGCCGCCAGACACAGCAGCCCGCCGGCCGCCATCTTGCCGCGTGACGTCAGCGCCCCCGCCGCCATGGCTACCGAGGCAACGGCGAGGCGCCGCCATCGCGGCCCAGGGGCCGCCGGTTCGAGGCTGCGGTCCGCCTGGTAGCGGGGCTGGCGGCCCCTTTCCTCCCTCCTTCCCCCCCTCCCAGCCCGGCTCTGCCCCGCTGTCGCCGCCTGTGCGTTCCTTCCTGCGGTTTGAGCCTCTGCATCCACCCCATTGAAGGGGCCAGGAGGGAGCCCATGGGGTTGGCCCCAGAGACCCCTCTCTCCCCGGGCAGCCAGAGCAGGCCCAGGGCCGGGCTCCAAAACCCGCACGTGAGGGCCGGCTGCGTCCTCTGGGGAAACAGGGCAGAGTCCAAGGGCCTCGTGGCCGTGTCCTGGGCCGGACTCATCCTCGTCGGAGGCGTTTCAGCAGCCCCGCTGCTCTCCGGGCCCTGTCCCACTTTGCTCTCCTTGCAGGTTTTCCTGCTAAAGGTGCTGCTTTTGTGTAATCTGCAAAAAAAAATCTATCGAGTTCCTCATGCTCAGGGTACCTGCCTCAGCTTGGGCTTAAACCTGTCGCCTGGAGGAGTTTGTGCCCTGGAGGTTAATGGAAGAAAAGGCTGGAAAAGGGCTTTAATGTTTAATCACATAACATCCAACGAAAGCCTACGTGGCACAAGTTAACTTTCTTTAAATTTGCTGAAAGAAACGCGCTGCCTGCAGGGTCTGGTCCACCTCAAAATCCTCAACAATGGCAGAGTCCATAAGCCACAGTGAGAGTATTTCGGTTTTCCATAAAGAATTAGACTCCAAAATCAATGCAACCCTAAATGCTGTGAGACACAATTAGCCAGGACCGTCTGCAAGCACAAGAAACCATCTGCACCTTTCCCAGCAAGGGCCGAGGTTCCTCCTGCTGCTGCCTGTCCTGCTCTCGCGCGATGCAGTGAGGCATTAACCATCGTTGGGACCTCATCACCACTCTGTGTTGTTCTCTGCCACCTTTGCCAGGACCCGAAGACCTTTTGTCACTGTGCTGCTAATACACAACAGAATCACAGAATCACAGAATGGTTAGGGTTGGAAGGGACCTCTGGAGATCATCTAGTCCAACCCCCCTGCCAGAGCAACCCCCCTGCCAACACCCCAGGACGGCATTCAAGTCTGGTATAAATAGATGTAGCTCTGCTACTTAGGGATGTGCTATTAGCACTTTGTTGACAGAGCTTGTACAACTCTGCCTGTGCTCGATTAAGGGGTTTAGAGAGAGTTACATGATGCTTGGAGATTTCTAGAGAAACTGAAGGTCTGCAGAGTGTTTTACTTGAGGTTAGCTATATTTTAAGGGAGTGTAAGGAAGACACCACAGAATATAAGAAAAATGGGTTAGGAGGTTACTGGTGGACAGGCGGGAGGCCAGGCAGGAGGAGCTGTCATAAAACATTAGGATCTGCTGTTCTGGGGCATGGCGCTATCTTCTGCCTCGTGGCTGGCACGCTGACGTGGCACCAGTATCTCTGCAGCTTGGGGACTGGCTGCCTATGTAAGTCTGTGCACTTTATGTCCCAGCGCCTAAGAAAAACAGAATAACATGAGCGGGAGCTGGCTCCGTGGCAGGGATCTGATCTCTCATCTCCTAGGACCTCCATAAAAAGAGAAAAGAAAACCCAGATTGTTTCTGCCAGCCTGAGTGCAGACTTTCCATGGCTGCCTCCCTACGTTGCATGCACATCCTCACAGACGGTCTCTATCATGGAGGACTTGTGAGTGCTCTCTGCTTCTGGGCTTTCCTCAGAGGCCTTCAGCTGCCTCCTGAACCGAGAACAGAGCATCCTCAGGGAGGAATATAGCTCCTTGCTCCGCAGGGCATAAATAATGGGGTTCACCATGGAATTGAGCAGGCAGAGGGTGCTGCAGAAGGCAAACACCTTGCGCAGGTGGTTGCTCAGCCTAGCAAAGATGCTGTAGATCATGAGAACAAGGACTGGCGACCAGCACAGAACAAGGACAGTCAGCACCATGACAAGGGTCTTGGCCAGCATGACGTCCATCCTCATCCTGGTGTTTTGCTTTCCCACCTGCACTTGGTGCTTCTCCATGTAGGCCACATGCTGGTGAGCCCTCCATAGCACGTGCGTGTAAGCATAGACAATACATCCCACCAGGACCATAATGAAGCAGATCCAGCTCGACACATAGTTGTCATCCACAAACGGGAAGAGCTCAGAGCAGGTTGAATCGAGCGTGCAGCAGTTCCAGCCCAGGAGTGGCAAGGAAGCAATGGTTGCACATGTCACCCAGAGTACCCCCAGGGCAATCCACGCTCTCTTCCTTGTCATGAGGAGCTTGTATTCGGAGGGCCGGCTGATGGAGATGTAACGATCCAGGGCTGTCAGCAGCAAGCTGCTCAGGGAGGCAGAGAAGGATGTGTTCACCCCTCCCAGCTGTAGCAGGAACATTTCTTTTGAGACATCAGTTTCATTAAAAACATGGAAGTTAACAAAACTGCAGACGAAGATGATGCTGGCCAGAATGTCAGCCAAGGCCAAGCTGCTGATAAAGAGGTAGGAAGGCTTTTTCCTGGTCCCAGGGGAGGAGAAGATCAAGTACAGGACCAAAGAGTTCTCGAAAATGCACAGTGTCCCAAAGAGGCCGCACAGTGTGGCAATGCTTATCTTCTGTGTTTGTGTGCTGAGGACCATGAAGCACTCCATGGTGTTCACACTGCATTTGGAGGCGTTTTCATGTGTCTTACAAATATCCATTGTAATTAACTGGAACCAGGAGCTTGCAGAGAGCGTTTTTTCCTCCTTCTGCACTTCTTCAGATGCTCTGAAAAAGACCAAGGGGAAGGAGACTTACAGGAGCACGATGAGTAATAAATTCAACCCACTCAGACACATTCTTCCCTTTAGATGGAGGCAAGCAAAAGGGAAATAGCCCTGGGAGACCTACTTTCAGGTCCACAGCTCAAATGCTGGAGCCAATTCCACCCTTTCCTGGCAGAGATCCAGACTTTGTCCCACCGGTGATTTGGCTGAGACCCGTCTATTGCAGGCCATGAGTACCACATCTGTGCCACGTCCGTAGTCCATACCACGTCTGTCTCCTGGGCTGTTTCCTCACCACGAGAGGGAAGCAGCAACGCTGAAAATTGTACAATGGAGAAGGATGAGGGATATTGCACTGCTAGGGACTCCGTGCGACTCATCTGGGAATACAAAGCGTACTTTGAAGCATTTACTCTTCACCAAAGCTGTTTGAACACATAAAATGGCAAGACTGGTTTTATATCTAAGTTTGCCCATTGCAGCTTTACAAAGCTCAGCCTCATAAAGTTGTGCTTCTCCCCCCATAATCCCTGTGTCATGAGTCAGACTGTCCCATGGTCAGAGTAATTAAAAGTTAGTGTTTAACATCAATACTGGAGTGCAGGTTGGACATAACAATGGGGACATGCAGGAGTTAGACCACCTGAACCTAAGAACCCCTGTCCATACCCAGGATTAGGTTAATCTTATAAATATTTTCAGCTTCAGCAGAGATGTGATGGAGGGAAATGTCTTATTTTCCCCTAGGCAGACGTTGAGCTGCTCGGTGCACTCTGTGGCAGCAAAGTCATGTTTTTCTCTACACTTCTGCAACTTAATGCATTTAAATCCCTTCATCTTCATTACACTGATGAGCTTGTCCTTCAGATGTTATTTTTCTTCCTTTCCTGCTCTTGATTATACTCGTGCTTTAGACCAAATGCTCTTTCATCGAGGGCTCATCTGGCTTGTGTTTCCTCATGTAACAAGGGGAACAAGGTCATCCTGGACCAGGTTATACAGAGCAGATAAAGAAGTGGGTGTTGGATACACTAAAGCTGCCTTATTAGCAGAGAGATGCTGTGTCCTGAGTCCCATGCACCGGCAGGTCGTACTGCCCTGCTACAAAAGCCCATGGGACAGGAACCCCCTTCCTGAAAGCATCTGCCTGGCTTTGAGTATCCGGGATCCCACATCTAGGCAGTGGGACCATGAGTTCCCGCTGTTGGAGGAAAGCACTGAGCTGACAGCGTTCCCTTTTCCCCAGAACAAACAACCCACCATCTCTCCCTGCCCTCAGCTCTCTTTCGAAAGAGGAAATGTCCAAAACGCATCAGCCACAGCAGACGGGATGTGTGATGACTACAGCTACCCAGGCAGTGCGGCGGCTGGGCTGCCGTGCGGCTGGGCCCCAGGCACCTGTAGCCCACCATCTGTGGTTTGTCTGTTTTTTGAAATTCAGCAAAGGCAACGTCTGTCTTTAGAGGTGACAATAGCCAGCAGCGTCCAACATGCTGGAAACTGTCTGCAACATCTTAGCAGTGACACATAATTTATACCTGTCTTTGTTACTTCCTTCCCTACCGATTCCCCCATCCCCTGGCACCCATCGCTGTTTCTGTGTTTTGCAGTAGTTGCAAAATACCTCTACGCACTTGAGATGCTACCCAGGAGATGATGGAGAAGAGCCCAAGCCCCACACTTTGCTCCTGCCTGCCTAGCTCAAACATCGGTGGTCGCAGGGCATTCAGTGCGTATTACAGCCAGAGCAGTTCAACCCTGATTTGCATTTCTTGGCATATCAGATTGGAGGAGTCCTGGACTTTGGGCTGAAATATGGCTCAGCATTGCAGCAAGCCTCTCTCCTCTTACATCAGGCTCTGGCATGGGGTAATCACACAGGACCGGAGATGTTGCACTCTAATCTCAGCACTCGTGTTTCCTGCAGCTCTTCACAGAAACACTACAAGGGCAGCAATAATTACTAACTGCTGTTATTAAAGCTGACAACATCTCCCTCTCCAGAGAGAGATGGATTTAGCGGACAGATGGACTCTGACATATCTCAGGGCTCACCAGGGGCCACGGGGGCAGCAGCTGCCTCCTCGAGTATCCAAAACTCCCCAGCCAAAACCCTAGCATCCAAACCAAGACGTCTCTTAATTAAGCAGACTCCAGCATCACCTTGACATCTATTAATTGCAGCCAGCATTCCCAGGACCATCTTAAATTCTCAGTATCTGCAGTTGTGCAATGTCGAACAAACATCATTAGGAGCTTGGAAACTACTGAACACTAGGCGAGAGACTGAAGGCCAGTAAAATGTTACCCCTCATGTTATGTTGCTTGGGGAGAGAATTGGGTTATAATGGCAAAATAACTCCTGCACTGACTGTTCTGGTACAGCTCTGTTCATTAAGCTGACATAATTCTGATAAGCCCTTAGGTTCAAAATACGGTGCTGGGCTCCCAGCAATCAGCCAGCCAGCTCAGACCTTCTCTTCCCACATTTGTTGTGTCTCAGGCTGAATGACAAGGATGAATCTCTTTGCAGTTTTGACTGAGCTCCCCCAAATCCTCCTTTCAGCTCTCATGCCTATGAGGGAAAGCATGGGGCTTTGCTCCAGCACAAGATCCCTTCTGCAGAAGCTCCAGAGCGTGAAAACACTGTGCCAAGAGCCCCTCTCCTTGCGCTGCCTATCCTTTTTTTTTAACCATAAGGCTGCTTTTTCTGCCCAGGGGACATTTTTCTCTTGTCAGATGGGCTCCTGGCTTCAATCATTTGTTTGTTCAAGCCCACTGCCTCCTGCATGCTTCAGCTCCTGGGAAACAAGCCAGCCCATATCCAGATCCCGGGGGAGAGCTGATCTGCAGCATCCTCCATGGGGCAAGTCCCACTTCCAGGGTGGAAACCCCTTTCCGAGGGTCAACATCTCCACCCCCTGGGGAATTACAGCCCCGGGCAAGGCTGTGCGTCCCCACCACAACCAGCCCAACAAGCCCAGAGTCCCTGCCCACTGGGCTGACATTTCAGCTCAGCAAAAAAAGGTGAAGGGGCTTCTCGCCCTCCTTGCGAGCCAGGAGACTGCAGCACAGAGGGATTTGGTCTGTGGGAGACACAGGAGCCAAGCAAGGATTTCCTGGGCCTCTGCACAGGTTTAACTCTCCTCCCAGCACAGCAAAGCATCTCCTGCCAGAAGGATCTCCCAGAGTGGGGAATATTCTGCAAAATAAAGCAATGGAAACCCTGTCTCTTGCAATGGAGAAACCCCCAGACAGTGCCAATAACAATAGCCCCAGGAGACAGAAATGGAGGCAACACACTGGATGAACAAGCAGCCCAGCTATTAGGAACAAAATGCAGATAAGATATTTTGGGAATGCAATATAGTTCTGATACAGCCTCACTGACTGTAAAGTCTACCCAGAAGCAGCAAAGAAACCTTTCCCCTGTTAGATCTGCTTGTCAGCCCACTCACTCCAGCCTAATAACTCTGCTGGCTTCGGCTGAAATTAAATCTACAAGTGAAAAAGTCCTTTTCCATTGCAGTGCATTGCTGCGATTGATTTCAGCTGTCAGACTTACACTGCCTTGAACACAGCAGCATCATTTCTGATATCACTTGGGATGGTTTCTTCATTTACAGGGACATCTCAGAATCCTTGTGATTAATAAGTTAACATACCGGTTGCTTAGATAACGTAAAATTAAATTTTCCTGCTGCAATCAGCCAGTGCAATGTGCCTGCAGCACTCTGAAAGCGCTGATCTTGAATATTTTTGTCACCAGAATTTCTGGGATATTTGATCTCTACAATAAAATAAAATGTCTTAAAAGATCACCTAGTATGAACAAATGAAGTGATTTATGCAAAAATTGTCATTAATGCTTGCAAATTTCACTTGCTGAAAATGCAAAATATCCTTTGCTTTACAAATATCTTAGTTTGTACATGATTTCTTGTTTTAGTTGCAAGAGAAGTTTTGCCATTATTTTGGAAATAGCTGTTCATCCCAGTTTGTCCCTCTGACTATATTAAATAATGCCGAGCGGAGTTACCTCCCTGCTGCAAGAACTGTCCGTCACAAATGCCACACTGAAGATTATATGCTTTATTTCTATTCAGAGTCCAGTTCTGTTCATGTGTGACTGCTCAGGGTGACAGCGTTTGAAGTACAGAGGTGTGTGAGTGCAGAGCAGCACTGCGAATGCCAGTTTGGGTGCAAAGTATGGCAAAACAGAGCTTCTCTCACTCCACCAAAACCACCACAGTTGGAGTGATAATACACACCAACTCGTGCGGAACACTCAGCCTGAGAGCTCAGTATCATACTTATGCTTGCGAGACATTTGGAAATACTTCTGACATATCCAACATTTATATTTCCTAAAAACAGCTATAAAGAGTTAGTCCCCAGTCTGCTACTTAAACACTTACCTTCTTTGTTCTCGTTAAGAAAGCATTCATCCTAAAAACGATTTTCCCACCCTTTGTTACACATTGCGTTGCAGTTTATCCTCAATAACACTGGGAATCTCCCCATGACAAACCCTGCATGGCAGAGTCTCCCCAGTCCGCCTGCATGCGTGTCAGCACCGTGGGCTCAAAGGTACGATGTGTTTTACTGCGAGAAAAAGGATCCTTGGCTGCAGGATCTCCCCATGGATTAGCAAACACAAACCACTCACCTCCTCTGGCTCGTGCTGCGGGCTGGGGACGCCTGGGGGCTTCCCATCCCTCCAGCTCTCAGGGCAGTTTGTGCAGCTGCAGACCGCGCCTGCTTCCCTCTGCTTTCACATCACTTCTGGTTTCATCTGGGTTTCTCGTACCATTCTGTTTTATTCCCCTGGGCTGGAAATCCATCAGTGCAGATCCTTCCTCTGGTTTCTTGCTCTCTTGTGCATTCTTTTGGTGAACGTTTGTCAGGTGTTCTTTCTTTCCCCACTTCCCCTC